GGGGCCCGGTGGGCGGAGGATCGGGTCCCGCTCCGGAGCGGCCTCCGGTTCCTCTCGCACCCTGTCGCTCTAAGGTTTGCGTAGGCTGCGGGAATAAACGAAAGGAGAAGGACTGAAATGTGCAAAGTGTTGTTTCTGCTGAAAGTCAACGCTATGTATGTTTTGCTTTGGTTGGAGAGAAGTTGGGAAGTAAATCCTGCTGGCCTTTACCCAGTGCCTTATTTGGCTACTGAAAAACTTTCTGGCTAAAAATTGTCATTACTGATGAACCTGCGTCTAAAACTAGCAAACCGATTTTTTTTTTTTTCCCCCCACAAAAAAGCATAAATGAAGCTTGTCTTCTTTTTGAAAGTGGTTTGCCATTAAGCCAGGGTGCTGTCCCTCTAATTGCTTCTTTAATCTGGTCGCTATTTCTGTGTGGAGCTCACTGTGAATGTGTTTGATATGGAGGCAATTGGCTAATTTTGCAGCTGCTGCAGGAAACATCTCCTGTGGTCTTTGCGGTGCACTATAGCACTGAGTTAACATGCGGCCTTCTTCCCTTGAGCACATCTCGAGCCCCTTCGAGTAAAGCATATTTGTAATTTGGCTTTGTGCCTAACATACAATCTTCTAACAGCTTGGAGTAAAATATAATGCTTAACTGACTGAGTGGAAATATTCTCCAGATGTAATTCCCTTCAGTGGAAGGGAATATGCAATATCTAGTGTTCATACATGACCTATTTGGTGACATTATTTAATAAAGATGTTACTTTTTGAGTTACTAAGATTATAATATCATTGTAAAATGATTGCAGAGATTAAATGGTAATATCCTCTGAAACTAAAGCAGAAGAGAGGTGCAACTGCTATTGACTGGTTAACTTATGTTTTAAATATTTTCTACAAACTTTTTTTTTCCTGAATTGCATAGAGTGTTGAAGAGTCTGCAAGAATGACTGAGGTGTCCGTAGCCTGAGATGTCCGTAGCCTGTCTGACGCTGGGCTTTGTGGGAAACTTTATGAATATTTCAGTGGGATATTGAGCAGGGTATCAGTAATGAGAATGATTGACTGTGACCAACCTGTATTAGATTTGAGTTGGCGATTTAGGCAATGGAAGCATCTACATCCAGTTTTTAATCCCACGTGATGTTCTGTGACTGGTATAGAAAAATCTAAGAAATCTGCTGTTATTGATGTGTTTTGCACCCAACGAGCTGAGGAGTCTTGAGGAAAGTATGCTTGGTCTCATCTCTCAGTGATGACGTCTCTGGATATGTACTTGAAAGCTCGTACTCATTTTGAGGGGATTTGAGATGGATGCAAATGGAAGAATACTGAATTATGTACATTTTATTGTTTTCTGGGTAAAATATTTTGAACTGAAAGAATGAAAATGAAGAAATGTTATTCTTCTGTTGTCCAGACTACTGAACTCTTGTTTTGTATCAGCATTGTTCAAGGATTAAACAGCAGAAGAGTGAGGAAATAACTCTTGAAAACTCGTTCAAAAAGGCTCATCGTGTATTGTATTGCTGGCAGTTGCTGCTGTTCTTACAGCAAAGAGTTCTTGGGTATCAGAAGCAAGTTCATGTATGTGTGGTATAGAGAGCTGAAGTTGAATGCACTTCGTGTATTTTGTGGAAAAATAAATCTATTTGTTTGAAATCGAAAAAGATGCTTGTACTGTGAGTGTGCTGAAGGGGATTTTGTGGAAGTAAAATTCCTTTTACAAGGCCTCAGCATTAAAAGGTCAAGACAACCGTATTTCATCTGCAAATACGCTTGTGAATAATCTGTTTGTACCAGTTGTGCAAATGTATTTGTATATTACAACAGTTCAGAAGCTGAAGCTTTGCAACATTTTATGTATTTTGCCTCCTGTGTGCTCCAAAACACACTTGTATGAACTTTTTCTTCAACTTTTGTTCTTGTGGAGCTAGAACATTTGTGGCCAGGTAAGTTTCTGAAGCAGTGGCAATGCAGGTCAGAATCTCTTGCACCTTCTCCACCGCTTCTCCCTGGGTGAAAAGCAAAGTGGTGGTCTGGGCTCTTGCTGCGTTTGTTGCTGCTCAGGATGGTCTTACACTCCTAGTGTTAAAGGCATCATGTTTTTGTAATTTCTATTTCAATGTGTTCCATTCAACTAAATGCTTAATCCAAAGTGTTATTCTGCTGGTAATGTGGTGTCTGTCCAAGGGTTTGCAAGCATTAGTGTAAAGAAATCTGCCATTCAGCGGAGAATTAAGCGATTCTTGTGCGTGTACCTGCATGTATGTTGTAAAGTACATTGTAGTTGTCTTGGATAAAAACTGGAGGGGAACCCCCCCCCCATATTTAATTGAATAAATTCTGCAAAACACTTTGTTATGTCCAAACCATTAGGATGCTGACTACCCAAAACAGTTCCCTTCCCTTTTGTCCTTATATTTGCTGAAGTCATGTGTAAGTCTGGTAGCAGAATTTATTGCAAAAGCAGGTACGGTTTAACAAGGGGAAGAAGTTGTTAAACTGAGCTTCAAGCTACCTGTTTTCTGCTCGTAAAAATTATTTCACTGTTGTCAGCTTTATCTGTTGAAGTTATTGAACGAAATAAATTAAATGGGATGCAATATAGTATTATCAGATTGCAATCATTTTTAGAGTGTAAGAGATTGGGATGACTTGCAAAAGTACCTACTGTCAGTCTGTTCGGCAGAAGAGTCTCTATTTTAACAGAAACTGAATACTATCAAAACAAAGTTTGACTGACTTTTTTGAGTATTTGTCATCTAACATCTTTTAGACCAATGGGAAATGTTCTTGAAATTGACTTTATGTTAAATGTTTAGATAATAGCAATATCTTATAGATAGTGGTCTAACACAGCGTTGAAATCTACTTAACTAGCAAGTTGCCATTTAAGGGCAACTGAGATTTCTTCAGCATAAAATTTGAAATGTCAGTGTTTATACTGATATTTCCAACACTGGGAGGATGAGCTGATATAGATGCATAGAATTCATGACAATAGATTTGGCAGGCTTTGGTTTGATTTCTTCAAAGACTTCTGAGACAATAAAGCAGAGAAAATAGAAAAAGTTTGGCTGTTTTATTGTTTGTGTTTTTCTGGAAATATTATCACTCACTTCATCCTAGCTAGAAAAAAAAAAATATATCTGAGTAGACTGTATTTTTGCTACCACTAATTATTCCTGTGTTTGTTAAAGGTGGGTTAGATGGGCTGGTATGAAAAAGAGGAAAGACATTCACAAGTATTTTGGGTATAAGGAGAAGTGTGATCTGAACACAGGTGTTGAAGCCAGAAATCTTTAAGATCTACACAACCCTCTGAAAAAAGCTACATGCTTGGTTTTTCAGATCTTGCGCAGCCCTCTTGCTCTGGCCCTAGCATATCACTGGGAATAATAATCTCCTCAAGGAATGGTTATGAGAGTGGATTGACAGTACATGGCTTACGTGTTTCTGGACCAAACTTTCCAGAGGGATCTTTTAGTGTGTTGTGTACTGAGAGGCAATCTAGAAAGTCCTTTGAATGGCTCCTGATCTTTCAAAAGAATTTCTTCTGGAGTGAATCAGAATGGTAATACAAAGTAGTGTTAGATCAAAGTATTAACAGTGGAATAGAAGAAATGCCATGTATTTGATTAAACTATTTTTACCTGAAAGGCGACAATGCATTGTACATAAGACTATAGATGTAATAACTATTAGGCTGATTTTATCAATAGGAAAATGAGACTGTGATAGATTCTATAGCAGTAAAACTGATGTAGCTTAAAGCTTTAACAATTACTATATCGTGTATCCTCATTGGATCAATGAGACAGAATCTGGATGGAAAACTAAATAATCCACTTATGAAACATTTGCTTTTTGCTTCCAATTCTCAGGTGTCCTACATTAGTCAAGACTGTGAAGAAATTCCAGAATTCTTAGGAAGAAAATATGGACACGTGGCAAAAAGACTAGATCTTAGCTTCAACTTGTTAAGGTATGTGGCAATATGTAGATTTTCAAGTGCAATATGGGACACCAACTCCAAAAATAGATCCCCACCACAGGTAGAAACTTACATGTATGTTAGGTACATTTAACTGTTGTCAAGTGGGCGACACTGTTTTATAGGCAATGTTTGTCTCCTTTTCTTGCATACTTGGAACACAAATAACGAGGTGAGTCTGGAAATTTCTCGTGTTAAGATAAATGATGCCCAGTGAGGAGTTTATGGTTTGTCCTCTGGTCAAAATGGAAAATAAGCATCATTACCTGAAGAAGTGAAGAATGGGATCAAAAGTGAATTGCTCTTTAACCAAAATAAAAGTAAGTGTGTGTTTCCCTTCTTTTTATTTGTAGATCTCTGGTTATTACCATAAATGGTTTTTAATACTCTTTTCCCAGATGATGTGTTTTTGTTGTTTATTTTATTTTTGGGCAGCTGTGCAGTTAAGAGCTAAAGCTAAGTGCAATTAGAATTTGTAAATAAATTTAATTATTTTAATATATGGATTGATTTAGAATTCTATAATATTCCCATTAGTTATTACAGTATCCTTTTTCATTTAATCCTTGTGAGAGAGCCTGGTGAGGTTCAGAAGTGTATCTTTCAGGTTGGCAACTCTGTAAGCAAGCAGGGGAAAAGGAACGCAGTGTACTTGGCTGTTTAAGAAAAAGCGTACTTTTCAGCGGTAGGGTTGGACTCCTTTGAGTTTTTATTTTTATTGAGGGTAAGCTTAGAGTCTGCTTGAGAGGAGTAAGACACATAAAAGTGGTGTGCTGGTGCCTTGTTCTCCTAGGGGAACAAACGCTGTTTTTAACTTATTAATACTCATAAATGTTATCCTGAGCCACTGTCAACTCTGAAAGACTGATTCCTACATGCAAGAGGTAGCAGAGCAAAAGAGGCACTAGGCAATCTGTGGATTGTCATTGTCTTATACTTCTGTACCTGTGGAAATTGTAATCAGAAGAGAGAATTTTGCTGAGGGAGGGAACTGACTTGGCATTTTTTCATTTTGTTGTGAAGATAATTCAAGTTTTGCATGTGCATTCAGATTTAACACGTAATAAACAAGACTGCTCCTTCTTTACACCTCCAGAAAAAAATGTTTGTTTCTTTCATTTAATGCATGAATTGAAGAACAGTTCCTCTGAGGTTTTTTTTATTTCATAAAGTAAAATATTAACATTAAATCTAGATGTAAAATACCACTTTAAAACTTTAAGTCATTAGTTTGTGTTTTCATGGAGAGCTTAACTGGTGGTGTATTTCTCAAATCTGTGTTTTCATCCCTTCTTTCCTTCCGTACACAAAACACTATCACTTAGCCTATATTTCAGAAGGGATATAATTTAGTTTTACTGAGGTTTGGGGGAAAAAAAAGTGTGTTAAAATCTTTTGTGGGGAAATGTGAGAGAAAGTGCTAGGTTTTGGGGTAGCTGCCATCAACTTTTGATGTAGGACAGCTTGTTTTTGTAAAGCTGTAGAAGTATTCTAAGGCCAGAAGTTGGATCTGGGGAAAGGGAAGAGGTGGGGTTTTTTTTGGGTTGTTTTGTAGTGGTTTCTTTTTGTGTGGTGGTTTTTTTGTTGTTTTTGTTTTTTTGTTTTTTAGCTTAGGGAAGCTAATACTAAATGTGATGAGAGCAGTAATGTTTTCTTATTTGAGCTGTGATAGATATACTAGCCATATAGAAACTAAGAATTAAGTATTTGTTATACAGTAGCTGTTCAGACTGGTCTGTGCTCACAGATGAACACTGTGGCAGCATATCCCAATCCAGTTAGTGAGCAGTCACAAACGGTGTTCCCCAGGGCTCGGTTCTGGGGCCAGACTTGTTTGTATGAGGTTCAACAAGGCCAAGCGCTGGGTCCTGCACTTCGGTCACGACAACCCCAATGCAACGCTACAGGCTTGGGGATGAGTGGCTGGAAAGCTGGCCAGCGGAGAAGGACCTGGGGCTGTTGGTCAACAGCCGGCTGAATATCAGCCAGCAGTGTGCCCAGGTGGCCAAGAGGACCCCAACAGCATCCTGGCTTCTATCAGGAATGGTGTGGCCAGCAGGGTAGGAAAGTGATCATGCCCCTGTCCTCGGCACTGGTGAGACCACACCTCAAATGCTGTGTTCAGTTTTGGGCCCCTCACTACAAGAAGGACATTGAGGTGCTGGAGGATCTCCAGAGAAGGGCAATGAAGCTGATGAAGGGTCTGGAGCACAAGTCTGATGAGGAGCGGCTGAGGGAACTGGGGTTGTTTAGCCTGGAGAAGAGGAGGCTGAGGGGAGACCTTATCGACCTCTACAGCTGCCTGAAAGGAGGGCGTAGCACGGTGGGTGTTGGTTTCTTCTCCCAGGTGACAAGTGATAGGACAAGAGGAAATGGCCTGAAGTTGTGCCAGGGGAGGTTTAGATTGAATATTAGGAAAAATTTCTTCACTGAAAGGGTTGTCAAGCATTGGAATGGGCTGCCCAGGGAAGTGGTGGAGTCACCATCCCTGGAGGTGTTAAAAAACCCATGTAGATGTGGCACTTCAGGACATGGTTTAGTAGCCATGGTGGTGTTGGGTTGGACTTGGATGGTTGGACTTGATGCTCTTGGAGGTCTTTTCCAACCATAATGATTCTATGATTCTGTATTATAGAGGGGGTCAGATAAGTTACAGAATAAATGTCATAGCCTCAAATGAATGTTAATACAGAAGAGATGTCTTGAACAGCTGTGAAAGAAAGTGTAAACAGTAAGATCATCGTAGTCTTCTTTAAACAAATATTATTGCTTGAAAAATCTGACCATGCTGTAGTATACTGATGCATTACGTGGTTTTTGTCAGTGAATGCTTAGTTTGAAAAGTTTAGATTAGCATATTGTTTTCAGTGGGGAAGACACGCTAAACTTAATGCCTCTCTAAAAAGGAGTTTGATTTTCTAGAAAAACTTGCTATCTGCTGGTAAGGGCAAAAGTTGAGTGAAGAAGACCAAGGGTGATCAAAATCTACAAGAAGATAAAGAGAATATTGTGCTTTGCTGGCACAATAGTTATCTGCAGTAAAGATATTGGCCTTCATTATCATGTGATTCATTATTAGATGAGAGTGTGTGTGTGTTCTTTGAAAGAAAAAAATATTTCAGCAGTCACTAATTTTTTTTAGCCTGTATTTAAGCCAGAAAAATGCTGAAATATTCAACAGCTACCTGTTCTCAGTGTTAGGCAGTACAAAAGTACTTCCAGCCTTTTTAAAATATTGTTCTGCATATAGAGTTTCTGTGCCCCATCTTTTGTAAGTATTGCTACTGCCAAGTGTATTTTGGGAAGGAATCACCCTTCTGTAGCAGGCAATAGATTCTGTTATGTAAAAGTGTCAATAGAATTTCTTACAGTGTAACAATTGCATTAAGGATTTAGGGAATTGAGCACATAGGGAAGATTTTTTTAATTTTGTGGGCAGCAGTATTTGCAGTCATGTTATTTGATATTGCTATCATGGGTGTAGTTGCATGGAGAGAAAGAGAGATACCTCTCTGTCATAGTACCGTGTTCAGCTTTGCGGTCAGTTGGCAGCAAACTCTTCTTGGAAGACAGCGCTGTCCTTTCTGAACCAGAAGTTGTGTGCAGTCATAGACTTGCAGTCTTTGCTGTGCGCACACACACAGGTTTATCCACATAAGAGACTCTTATCAGAAAGATGTATTTGTACTGTGTGCTACAGACGTCACAAAACTTTCTTATGCGACTGATATAATGTAATAGTTGATTGAACAGTTGCTTTAGTGAATAGTACTGATTTTGATATTACTATAATGTAGATAACTTTGTTGAAAAAGTCAGGGTAGAGCCAGGTAAGTTATTTTGTCATTTAAAGCTTTCCTCTATAAATGTGTGTTTTCAGAGGCTTGTCCAGGTTTGCTGGAAAAAGGGTGAGAAGACTGGCTGATGCTGTTAGGAAAATGGGAAATAAGTCAAACATGCTGTATTTTGTGACTTACACACAAAAGACTTTTGCCAGGCTTGTCCCTTAATAACATATCTGAACAGATGCTGTTGTGTTTTTCTGGGAAATGTAGCTTACTCTGCACGAACCAAGGAGTTTCTTGTTGTTAAACGATTTCTGTCTGTCATCTTTTTTTTCTGCGAAGAAGTCTAATTACGTGGATTCAATGTTCTTATGCATGGTGGTTTTGTTACATTGCTCAGATTTTTTTTTTTTTTTTTTTTCTTTTTGGGTGTGATATACACAGGACCAGAGAACTAAATCGGAGGAGAGGAGCATTGCCATTAGTTCTTTTCTATTGGCAATTTAATACAGAGGAAAAATGTATATTTTTCACCAATATTTTTCTGATTGCAAAGTTCTTCCCAGGCTAGAGCTTCTTCCTCATTATTAAATAAAAATTAGGGTCTGCTTAATTGTCTTTGCATCAGATGTGGTAAATCTAATAACAACACTTGATTAATCACAAAAAGTTGCTCTCCGAAAGAATAGTCTGTCTTGTTTGCCCTTTTCCAAAAACTAGAGTCTCTCCTTGATTACCCTCAGTGATTCATGGATCCAGCTCTCTTTCTTCTGGCAGCCAAAGTGAAGTGGCTGTTACCAGTCACAATGGTTACACATCTTCCCTTTCCCCTGGGAAGGAAAGAGAGGTGAATGGCAAAAGGGAACTTTTTATGGGAATGTTGAGGAAAAAAAGAGGAGTAACAGCAATTTGTTGTGTATGAGGCAAAGGGAAAAACTGGTGTGTACTTAAAAGCATGCCAATTGTAATCAGCAGGGTATGGTGCTGCTGGATTGCCACTTGTTTACACCTGGTGGATAGAAATCCTTTAACCCCAGACCACTATAGTCCACTTGTGAATTATTTCTTCTCATGCTCTTTTCCTTACAGATTTTATTTAAATAGTTTCTAATGTCTTTTGTTTCCTTTTGGGACAAATGGGGGGTTGTGAAGAAGACTGAGCCAAACTCTTGTGACATGTACAGCAAAAGGATGAGAGTCGTCACA